TTTATATTTAGGTCTAACAGCTCTCGTGGATCTCACTTCACGCTGTTCTTTACTATCCACCTGTCCACCTACTGCACCTTCCTCTTCTTCAATCTCCAATTGTTCCTCTTGAAACTCAATTAATGAGACCTCTTTCTCTGCCTCTGCTTCTCCCCTTCCAAAAAATTCTGCGTAGAAAAGTTTTGCTTTCTCAATTGAATCAATTCTATGTCTCTGTTCTTGCCACGTAAACATTAATCCTTCTGGAATCAGCCATCTATAATTCACTTCTTTATCCAATAACATTTTGGTCAGGAATCGATATTCTCTTCTCATCTCTCTCACTCTTCTGGGTATTTGTTTTAAAACCACAATCTCTTTGCCTTTGTATTTCAATATCTTCTCTCTTACAACTTGTAGTATTTGTGTTTTGATGGATTTTTTGGTAAATCTAATATGAACTTCCCTTGGTAGTTTATTTCTCATCGCATATCTTGTAAAGACTCGGTATACCTCATCTATTCCATCCATCATCTTTTCCTCTGTAATTTCCAACGCATCCGCCAAAATTTCTATCATTATCGCAGCCAAGTTTTCTCCTTTTTCTTCTTCTATATTTTGAAATCTGAGATAGAATTCTGACCTCTCCATCTCCCACCTCAACATCCCACTTTTATCTTGTTCAACCACTGTTAATCTGCTATCAATATTTCCAATCTTCTCCTCTCTTTGTGCACCTTCTTCCTCAATTTTTTGGAATCTCTCATCATACTTCGTCATCATTTGTTGAATATTTTCAATTTTTTCATCAGTCTTCCCTGTTCTTTCTTCAATATTCTCTATTCTTTGTTCAATGGCGTCTGATTTTATCTTGAGATCTTGGATTCCTTGCATAATCATCTGTAAAGTCACTTTTTCTTGTTCTTTATCTTGCTTCAACATTGTCTGAATCAAGCGTTGTCCAGCTGGTGGGGAGGCAGAGGTAGAAGTAGAAACGCCAGAAGATATGGGTTTTCTGCTCATTTTGATGCTTCAAGACCTTCAAATTCTTTTTAGCTTTTAATCCAACTGGTAGAATAGCCAATTATAATCCAAAATGGAAAAATCCAATAATAAAATGCCCAATAACAAAAAAAGGAGAAAAAGAAGAAGAAAATCTTCAGGTTCTTCTAGACCCTAATCCAATTATGAAGTAGTCCAAAGTAAAAAATGAAAAATAGAAGGAAGCAAAAAAAAAACCAACCCCCCCCCCCAAAAAAAATAATAATCTTCAATCCAATTGGGAAGTCTCAATAATAAAAAAGAAAAGGCAGAGTGGTCCAAAAATATAAATGAAAAAAGCAGAAAGAATCCCAGTAAAAAAAAAAGGAGAAGAAAAGAAAAATAAAGAAAAAAAATTCTGAGGCTTTCCCTTTAAAATAAAAAGCAAAAATAAGAATATTACTAAAATTAAAGTTTACAGAGAGGCCGGTGAGTAAGGGTACACGACTGAAAAAAGATAACGGAAAAAAAAAAACACTGCACTCTATTTATTTGTCCAAGGCTCTTATTATGACTCTCTTCTCAACAAGCTTCAAGGCCAAGCCTCATGTGTTGAAATATTGATAAGAGTCCAGGAGAACACCTGTAATAATATTTTGCTACGCTCTCCCTCTATCTTATCAAATTTTAATGTCCTTGAGAAGTAGTCTTTTCATAGTTCTTTCCAATTCAAATGAAATATTTTCAAGCCTCTAGTTGGCAGTGTTAGAGTTTCTTAATCCACTCCCCCCCCACCAGCCAAAAAGACATATTTTTTTTAAATTAAGCAAAAAGAGAAAGTATTAACATATATATATAAATATAAAGAAAAAAAAACAATAGCCAAAGGGAGCCTCTATCTTAAAAAATCAAAAAGGAGCAAATATATATAAGAGAAAATTCAGTCTGGTTAACTATAAAGTTGCGCTGAAATTCCAAAAAAAAAAGTAAGAAATAGAAAAAAAAAATCCAAGCCTCAATTTGACATCTCTTTTAAAAACGCCGCTCATACAGTTTTTGTCAAAAAAAAATCTCACAGATTTCTTCTTATATCCAGAGTGTCCTTTCAAAACTCAGCTAATTAGCAAAAAAAAAAGTTTCTCACCCAGCCGACACACTTTCACTCTCAGCTCTTCCTTACCGGAGCTGTCCCGACTTCAGCAGCTATGGAGGCTGCCTCTTCGCCGCCAGCAATAGGACTTCTTCCGGATCGAACCAGGGACTTTGTGATGTCCCTGGGATCCAGGAAATGTGCCCTACACAGTCACCGTCTCTACGGGACGGTTTAGGTCCGTTAGAACCAACCGGGGGCGAAAATATCAGCTGTGATCTCGGAGCCCCGAGATTACAGCTGTATCGCCGAAACTAAGCTCCGCCTTCTCCGCTCCACCTCTAAATTCTTAAGCAGTATGTTGACATTTGGGAAAAGAGAAAGTCACAATTTCTCCAACACTGCTAAGATGCATATCTAGAAGCAAAATGACAACCACGCAACTCAAAGTTGTTTTTTTCCAATTAAATTATAAATACATGATGGCATTTGGTTTTGAACTTTACCCCGGAATCAATTTTGCAAAAGATCATTGCTGAAAAGGCAATTAAAGCTAAATAATAATAATAATAATAATAGTAGTAATAATAATAATAATAATAATAATAATAATAATAATCATCATCATCATCATCATCATCATCATCATCATCATCATCATCGTCATAAATATTACTCTCCAAGCTGGTAGACTGGAGGACTCTTTTTATTCATATCAAATATAGCCATATTATAACATTAAGAGGCAACATTTAATCAGCCAAAATAGGTAATTCTATTACATAACATTGAGTTTAGGCCAAGGGTCTTCAAACTTGGTAAGTTTAAGACTTGTGGACTTCAACTCCCAGAATTGTATGACGAATGTGATGAATTTATCTTTTATGTACACTGAAAGCATTTGCACCAAGACTTGGCCAATAAAGAATTCTATTCTATTCTATTCTATTCTATTCTATTCTATTCTATTCTATTCTATTCTATTCTATTC